CCTCAGGAGGCAGCAGATGCGTTCGATGTTTTTTAAACGCTCGCGCTGTGGAGGAAGGAAAAGGCCTCGATGGGGAGCAGGATCTGGGTGCCTCCCTCCCATTCCGCACGCGGCCACCAGAAGGCGGCAGAGCAGTCTCTACTGCATCCCCGACACCGCAGGGAAGCAGCCGCGCGGTCCCCATGGCGACAGTAACCATGCAGGGGCCTTCACCCGCGTCGCCACGGCAACAGCCCAGAGCCTGGCAACTGCTGCCCCGCCAGGAGGAACCCTAGCCTGAAGCCCGCGCCAGGTGTTTGCTGGGGGCGGGGACAGCGAGAAAGGGGTATGGCCGCTGGCCCCCCCACCGCACCTCCCCGACCCCACTCCCACCCCTGCGCCACCCGCGACAAATGGAAAGACAGATGGACGGACACACCTCGGCACAGCACATGTATCACTTACTGCCCGCGCTGGGTTCCCCTGGTCGATGGGGTTCTTGAAGTCGGTCCGCAGCTCGTCAAAGGCTATGATCTGGAGGAGGGGCGTGTGCCCGTCAAGGGTAGGGCAGCAACTGATGGCCTCCCACACCCGTCCTTCCCTGGGATTGGAATTTGTATGCAGGGAATGCAGGGACCGGGCCATATAGAGGTTATTGCAAAACAGAGAAACTGAAGCCCAGGTAGGGGCAGGGCCTGGTCATGCAACAGTCGGGAATGGACTCCTAGTGTCCTGACACCCAACTTGGTGGTGTTCACTACAGCCTCTTCTCAAATATCCCAAGAATGGCCTCTTTTTACAGGGCCTTGTGCTGAGCACTAAAATCCCAGAGGCCTGGGACACAGCCCCTGCTTGGGAGGAGCCCAAGCTTTGGGGGGAGAAGTGATGGGGCCCTGGGGTATAGGAAGACCCCATGCAGGAGTGATGGGGATTCAGGCTAACTCTAAGTAGGCGTTTGGTGAACAAATGAGAGAAAAGCAGTCCAAGCAGCAGGATTAGCAGGTACAAAGGCACAGGGTTGAAAGAACATTCAAGAAGCTGCATTTCAGATGCTGGGGTGAAAGTGTGAGGAGAGTGGGAAGAAAGGAGGGAATCGTGCAAGATGGGGCTGAAGAGATCAGCAGAGCTGGATTTGGGTTTCCTGTGAGGCCAGACCCAGGTGTTTGGGTTTGAACACAAGAGTAAGGGGAGTCATTTGTGGCAAAGTAGGGTAGTTAGGCTGAGGTCTCGGGGGTGGGGCACAGGCTGGCTAAACAAGACTTCCATCCTTGAGCTTTACTTATTAGCTCACTGACTGCTTGCAACAACCTAATGACTTAAGTGCTAATATTATATTCATTTGTTTTGCAGATGAGGAAGCTAAGACAGAAGTTAAGTATCCTGTCCAAGGCCAGTCTGTTTGTAGAGTTACAAGTACTGATCACTTTGTCATACTCAGGCCAGAGCAGTAAGGGGATTGTTGAGTATCTGGGGAGGGGTGCTTGGTGGTCTGAGGAGAGTGGCAGTGAAGAAGGGGAGGTGTAGGCAGATTCTACAGTTCTCCAGGAGCCAGACTCCAAAGGGTGCACACAGCAGGGGAAGTAAGACAGAGGGGAACAAGATGTCTTCTCTTGGGGTGTCTGGTTGGTGGCAGTGTCCTCACTGGTGGGAAATTTCTGAGGGGAGTAGGTGTTTAAGAGGATGATAGCCCAGACCTGAGAGAAGCTAGCAGAGGAGCTGCTGAGGTTTCCTCCCCATCAGCTTGAGGCAGCAGTCCCACCACCCCCAAATATCCCAGACCCCAGACAGCTCAAAGGGAAAGAACATGGGCTTCCTAAAGGGAGCTGGGGCCATCTGGAGCTCCTCCCCCAACCCATCATTGACTCTGGGCAGCAGCCTGACTGATAGGCATAGCGACAGGGTCCAGCAGGGAGCGGAAGGGTGCCGTCTGTCTGCCCCCAAGCTGGCACCACCAGCAGGCAGCCGGTGTCGCACCTCCCACCCCTCAGGCTGCCTGGTGCTGACTCAGCCCCCTGGAACAAACAATCCCCCACGGTGACAGCTGACACGCGTCACTCACCACCAGGGTTGCCTAGCAACCAGTGGAACCTAGGTTCAGGGGCTGGAGCAGGATCTGGGGTCCTGCCCTGGAAGGTTCTAGTTCTTACCAGCTTTGGATGAAGGACCACACCTCCTGCCCCCTTCCCTCTTAGCCACTTCACTCTGGGCACTGATGTCTAAAGCACTTCACTGACAAGGTAACAGACTCTGGATGAATGGCTTGCTAAGATCACCCAGCTAAATGGCTGAGCAAACACTGCCTCTTACATAGTAGGTGCTCCATAAATATTTCTTGAATGAACAAAGGTGTTACTTCAAAACTCAGGACCTTCCTCTCAGCCAGGTCACTCCACAAGGGCAAAGTCTGATTCTTATGTATCCTTGACTCCCTCAGAGCCTCCCAGTGCCTGAATTGACATCGGTGTGTTGGATGAAGGGACTCTGAGAATCCCCTGGGGCAGGGGGCTGAAAGTTTTTTTTTTTTTTTTTTTTTTTAAATTCTAGCAGCTGGCTATCCTTATGTTCCCCAGGCTGTGGTCCCCAATTCCTTCCACTCCTTAGGACCAAAGCCTCCTCTCACCCACAAGACTGTCCAAGGCTCTGAAAGGAAGGAAGGAGGGAGAAAAAAGAAATAGCCACTGGGAGACCCAGAGTGAGAGAGAAGCAACAGCAGGAGGGTGCTGGAAATGGGGTGCAGGTCTGGATGTGCCTATGGGGGCTCAGTCCTCTCACAGCAGGGGTGCAGCAGAGTCAATTGAATCCTGATGTGAAAGAGGAAGGCAGCGGAGTGGCAGGTGGCAAAGGGAGAGCTGGGAGGAGAGTGCAAGGAGAACCATGGAGCAGGCAGCAGGTCCCAGAAAAAGAGAGAGGAAGTAGGAAGAGTAGGAAAGAGGCAGGTGAGGCAACTGGAGGAAGAGAGGAAGGACGACGATGGGAAGGAGTACAGGGAGAAGGCTTGGAGAGGGGCAAGAGGATCCCGGAAGGGAAGGGAATGAAGATCAGGGCTGCATGCGCTGGAKGTGAGCAGGAGGTGTCAGTGGCTGCTACAGACAGGACTGGAGGGGTCCCAGTGGGACAGAAACCTCAGGGGCCAGAGGAGGAGAGAGGGCTGAAAAGGGGGGCCCTGACCCCAACAATAAGCTGGAGGCTGACTGATAGTTCTGTAGTGAGGGGAAGGGGGCCCAGTAGAGAAGGCCCTTGAGAGGGCCCCAGAGAGGATGAGCTAGAGGGACCCTCTCAGAGAAAGCAGGATGAGGGATGAGACAGGGACAYTCTGAAAAACCAGGTGTGAAGCTAGGCCAGGGTGAGGGGCAGACCAGGTAGGTAAGCACAAGACAAAGGGGATGTGGGAGCAGAAATAAGAAGGAAGCTGGAAAGTGGAGCAGAAACCTGGGCAGAGGGGTACCCAAAATGAGCTGCGGTGGGAGCTAGGTTTCTGGAGCTGCTTAGAGCCCCTTCCTTGGTCAGAGAGGGGGCCRTGAAGGGAAAGGGTTAATTGGCTCAGAGATGTGGGTCCTGTAAACAGATGCAGTTGCCATAGCAACCGGCTCCACCACTCCCGCTGGAAAAACCCAAGGGGGGGGGGTGAGCAACAGACAGACAAACTGCCTGACGGACAAACGGGGGTGGCTAGATTGAGGGGGCAGGAGGAGAAGGAACAAGAATTCCAGACTTCCATCCCCCAACCCACCATTAAGATAGGGCAAAGGAAGGAAGGGGGGTCAGGGACCGACTGACATACCCACAGACAGGCGGGGGCGTTGGAGAAAGGGGCCCCACCGGGAAGGAAGCCGACGCTGGGGGGTATTAATGGGGGCGAACAGAAGTCGACGGATGGGGGATAGCGGAGGAGGCTCCGAGTTTCCCCAGGGTTCTGAGGCCATCCACCCAAGCCCCCTCCCGCTCCGTGTGCCCCCCTGCCCCCCACCCTGCCCCCAGCCCCCGACCAGCCTTACGTGCCAGATGACAAAGAAGATGAGGGAGGCGCACAGCACCAGGGTGAGCATGTAGCAGAACGCGGCGAAGGTGAACGCCATGGCCCCCGCGCCGGGCGGTGGCCCGGGGGGCGCCAGCGCGGGGTCTGGGCGCAAGGGGACGCCCCCCGGCCCGCGCTTAGGGCCGACCGGGCATGGCCCGAGGGGCTCGAAGGACGCTGGCGGCGCGGCCGGGACCCGGGCCGCGGGGCCGTGGAGGGCGCGGGGCGCGGGCCGGTGGGCTCGGGGGGCGCGTCCGCTGCCGGCTGCCCGGGCCGCGATCGCTCATCCTGCGATCCCTCGCCCGCGGCTCCCTCGCTCTCCAGCCCGCGAAGCCGGCGGGGCGGAGCCGGGGGCGGGGCCGCCGTGCACCGGCCTCGGGCGGGGCCCGGGCTCGGCGTGCCGGGCCCGCCCGACCCGCTTCCCCGCCCCAAGTGTCCACTGCCACGTACCCTCAAGAAGATGCAGACCTAGACCTGGATGTACATCTCTGCCACCGTCACACAAGCAACCCATCACGGCCACCCTCGGCCCACTTGGACCGGCACACTCCCCTACCCTTGCACAGCGCACTCACTGAGCGCGGGAGCCAAACTGAGGTCCTAAGTGCAAAGGACCCATCCGAGGCACCCAGAGAGAGGGCTGAACCTCGGGGGGCTGGAGGTGGTGCGAGCCAGGTGCGATGGGGTACGTCTGTAGAGTATACTGCGGCCCCCTGACCCTGGCTCTGCCCAACTCCATGTTTGAGACAACCCCGTGTGGTGTTGTCGGTGGCTAAAGGTATTTGCTGATGGCCGCCTGCCTGCTCCCAGAATCGTGCTGGGCCCTTGGGGACAGCCCACAGCAGCAAAAGCAGGCAGCTTTCCTGGCCCCAGTATGTGGGTCAAGGTCTTTTGCCAGTAACCCTGGACAGAGAGTTCAAGCTAAGACCCCTGTGTACCTCACTACAGCGAGATGCAGTTCCACATCTCATGTCTCCCATGACAGACCACACACAGCCACCACAACTTCCTTGCAAAAACCCTCAGCTCACCGGAGGGCCAGTGAGATTTATTGTTTTTTTTTTTTTTTTTTGTCCTTTTCCATCTTTCCCCAAGTGGCTTTTCCTTGCAAAATGCCTGACATAACACCAGAGGGGAACCTGGGAGTAGGCCTCCCCACCCAAGGGGCAGCTCAGGGATTTAAATACAAGCTGAAGGGGAGGGGATGGCAGGGCACAGTTTGGGTGGGACAGGCAAGAGACAGCACAAGGGACATGGCTTCTTAGGTAGAGACCAGATTTGTTTTCTGCAGGAAGAAGCTGTGCCAGAGGGCAAGGGGGTCAGGATCCTGGGTTTGGAAGGGGTGAACAGAGAGACCCCCAACCCTGGGTTGCACCCATATTTCCCAGAGAAGTAGCAACACAGGATGAGGTTCTGCCCTCTTAGGCTTTGAGGGATGGGAGAATAAGCCTGATGTGCTGCCTCAAGGATGGGGAAGAGGTGCTGGCAGAGTGAGGGTTAAGGCTGGTGCCTGGCCTCTGGCACGGTGGGCCTTCCGCCTCCGCCTGCCACAGGGACAAAGGGGCACGGTGGGCAGGCAGCGCATAGGCCTGCCTCTGGCAGGGCAGGGGGAGGCAGGAGCAGGCTCCCTATGGGCTCAAGACATAGGCCCAGTGCAGCCGCCCACCCACCTGCCCAAGCCATACTCTATCCCCACTGCAGCTGGACGGCTGGAGCTGTGAGTGTGGGAGGGGTGAAGGGAGGCAGGGAAAGAGTGGGCTGCTGGGCCCCTGCGACCCCCATGCCCATCCTGAGTTCCGGCCCAGGGCTCTGGATCCCAGGTCCTGGATCCCCTGGCCACACTGCTGGCCTCAGGCACTGACTGTAGCCATGGGCAGCAAAGGCCAGGGAAGCCCTCAGCTCTTGGGAAGGTGGGAGAGAAGGAAGAGAAGAGAAACCCAGTGCAGCATACATGGGGGTGGGGAGACAGAGCCTTCGTTCCAAAGGAAGGTGCATGGTGGGGCATCTTTTCAAGGTACCTAGAGGCAGCAGCAGAGCAGCCCCCCACCCCCACCCAAGTCACAGGTCCTGCATGAACTCCCTTGGGGGCCCTGACAGAACTGGGGCTCAGGGCAGCAGGCAGATGGGCCAGAGGGAGGTGGGGAGCCCAGGACACCCCAAAGCCACAGACTCAAGTGCCCCTGGAGAGGCAGAGGGAGGCACCTCTTGCTCCCTCCAGGGGCATCATCTGGAGAAGGTGCCCCTTCCTGTTCTACCCCAAGTGCCCCTCCTAGCAACAGCCACCACCAGCTGGCTTCACAGGGGTGCTGTCAATCTTGAGGTTGGGCCGTTCGCCCCCTGAGGCTGCGCCTGGCCCCATCCGCTTTTTGATCTCAGCAGCCATGGTCATGAACGCCTGCTCCACATTGGTGGCATTCTTGGCACTTGTCTCCAGGAAGGGGATGCCCAGGGAGTCTGCAAACTCCTGACAAGGGGAGAGGAGAGAGGAGGAGGGGAGAGAAGGGTGAGAGGCAGCAGGCCCCAAACCCCTGGATGGCCTGGCCTGGGCCTGCTCACCTTAGCTGTGGTGTTGTCCACCACCTTTTTGGTGGTGAGGTCACTCTTGTTGCCCACGAGGAGTTTATTGACATTCTCACTGGCATAGCGGTCAATCTCCTGCAGCCACTGCTTCACGTTGGCATAGGATTCCTAGAGGGCCCAGGGTCCAAAGTTATTGATTTCCCAACTCCCACCCCTCTCCAGGCCTGTAAACAAGAATCCTTTCAGGGAGAGATGAGAGCTATGGGCTCAAGGATCCAGAAAGAAGCCCCCTCTCCTGCTGTTCTCCATCTGGGACCCCAAAATCCAGGCCCAACACAGCCACGTTGCCTGCCATCCGGCTGTGCCTCCAGCAGCTCTCTCTGAGCCACTTCCAGGCCTAACCATGTGTGGGAGCCAATGGCAGCAGGACAGAGGTAGGTCAGAGTGTGACAGGTAGATATGTCTTAAAAACCCTTATGGGCTTGGAGCCTAGTGGGAGGTGGAGGTCTTTAAAGGGGAGCCTTTTGAGGGTGCAGAGCTGAACACTTTTCCTATTTCTGCACCAAGATCCTCATCACTGGGCCTTAGACTCTCCGAGCAGCTTGAGACCCACCAAGTCAAAGGGCAGAACTTCTAGGCTAAATGTTCAAGCTAGAGCTGCTTCTCTTCTGAGGGGACAAAGACAGAACTCATCCCTGGGCCTTCCCTAAGGCATTCAGAGGACAATGGAGGAACAGAACAGGACATACACAAGGCAAGATAGGAATGGAAGGCAGGTGCTGGGGAGCCCCAGGATTGTCTCTGACTTCAGCCTGTAGGTACCAAATGGCCTTCTGCAGGAAAGGTGCCAGCTATGGAGAGAGCATGTGCCAGGTCACAGACCAGGAAGGCATGGTGTCTTTAGGGAGCGCGGAGAAGTGGGATGTTACCAGGACACAGCCCTGAGTTGGGGAGGAGAGGAGCAGGCAGGCCAGAGTTCAAAGGGTGTTAGCCTGGATAAGACTGGGAACACCAGGAGCCAGTGGGGGGTCTCTTGCAGAAGCTGCAGGATCAAACCTGTTCTGGGAAAATGGTCCAGACAGGATGTGGAGACCAGAGAATCAGCAAGAAGACAGAGACCAACTGGAAGGTGGTTGCTATAATTCAGAAAAGATGTGGAGTGCAGTGGGGGAGCACATAGGCCCAGCATCAGGTCGTCCTGGGTGAAGCCCTGGCTTAGACATTTACTTTGGGACTTTAGGTATATCACGTGACCTCTGTGAGCCTCAGTTTCYTTTTTTGAATAAAATAGTACCTACCGGCAAGGCTGTTGTTTGCATGAAAGAATGAATACAAGCCTGTCTCATAACAAGTGCTTAATTAGCAAGTAAGGCTATTATCCTCATCACTGCTATTATTATGAGGGGACAAATTTGAAAGACATAATGGTGAGAGAATAAAGGGGCCTTGAGACAGACTGGATGGGGGAGGGAAGAGTTTTCTGACAGGGATTCTGTTACAAAGATAAAGATGCAGGAGAGGATTTGGGGAGAGAACATGAGGCCAATATTGGACATCTGAGTTCTGCAAATATCTGAGGCTGAGGAGAGGTATCAAGGGCAGGAAAGGTTATGCTTAAAGCTAGGAACCCTGGGTGTCAACCTTGGCTTTGCCCTTCCTGACTGGGAGATCAGGGGCAAGTTACTTAACACCTCTCCAAGTGAGTTTCCTCATATGGAAACACAGACCGCACCCTTAAGTTAACTAGGTAAAATAGTGAGATTTGAATTAACACAGACACCAAGTGCCAGCACAAGCACAGACAAAAAGGAGGGTATCTACAGTGAAAGCTGAATAGACATCTCAGAAGACAAGACAGAAGCCAAATCAAAGAACTGGCCAGAACCATGTGGGATAGTAAGGAGGAAGCCAGAGTCAGAAAGCAGAAAATATGAAACTGGGGGACAATACAGAATAAACCATAAAAAACACTGAAGGGGCTTGAGGTGGAATTCAGTGATATGAGTGTGTGTAAAGTAGAAGGTGGAGCAATATCGATAGTCCACTTTCCAAGAAGAGAGAAGAGAATGGAGTTAAAAGTCACAGGAGGTCAATCAGGGTGAGAAGTAAAACAAGGTCACTGCATTTGGCAGTCAGTCAGGAGGGCCTAGGTCCATCCAGCTTACCCCCCAGCTTGTTGTCCACAATAAGTGGCATGAATCCTTGGTGAGCAGAAAAGCCCTACTGCTCCTCAGAGCAGGGACTCTCTCAGCTCGACGCTGATGTAAACTCTCATGTCTCCAGGGCCTGGCCCCTATTAAACAACAAGGTTTGGTAGAAAAAAAAAGCAGGTGGGATCCAGAGACTAGGCTTTCTGCCTCTGCCACTGTACTAGCCGCAGGGCCCTAAGCGAGACACCTCACCATCCTGAACCCAGGTCCTCATTTGTAAGATGGGAACATGACATAGATCTCTTACTAGCATTAAAAGGCAATATGAAGCCAGACAGTCGCACACTATAGTCTATAGTTCCAGCTACTCAGAAGGCTGAGGCAGGAGGATCACTTGAGCCTAGGAGGTCACAGCCTGGATAACAGAGCAAGACCTCTTATCAAAAAAAAAAAAAAGCAACTCTAAGGCTATGATTGATTCTGTAAAGTAAAAGACATTGTAGGCTTAATTCTGCCTGCTGCCATCCACCTCTACTTCTAGTGACATGTGACTGAAGTCACTGTAGCAGACACAGAGTTCCTGGACCTCTGGGCCCTAAGCTTAGAGCTCCCTCACTTCCTTATCTAAGGCCCTTCAATTGTTCCCCCTTCAATTGTTCTTCACATAGGAAGCCATGGGCCCAGCACAGTGGCCAATCAGCTGACTAAACCCCCACAAAACAGGTGACTGGAAGGTCTAGAATGAGGTGGTGGGAGGAAGTGTGAGGCCTGGTTCTGCCAAGACCCTGCAGCAGGGCTGTGAGAGGATCATTTTTGTGGCCATTCCACTCCTTGTGAAGTAAGTTTGAATATAAATGCTTCCCCTTTCTGGGGAGCATCGGCAAAGAGAAGACAGAAGAATAAAAAACAAGAGTCAAAATCTTAAACTCAAGGAGGCAAAGCTGGGAGTACCTGGTCAGTGACGTCATACACCACGATGATGCCATGAGCCCCCCGATAGTAGCTGGAAGTGATGGTCCGGAATCGTTCCTGACCGGCCGTGTCCCACTACGACACAGTAGGGAGAGGGGCTGGTCAGTCTGAGTCCTCCCCTTCTAAGACACATGCCTCTGTCCCAGGGACTGGGGAGGAACCACACTCACAATCTGAAGTTTGATGGTTTTGCCATCCAGCTCAATGGTTCGGATCTTGAAGTCCACTCCAATGGTGCTGATGTAGCTCTCTGTGTATGTGTCATCCTGGAAGGTTGGGGCCAGTGAAAAGGCCTTGGTGAATGGGCCTTTTCCTATATGGAAATTGTCCCTGCAGCTCTCTGTCCTGGCTGGGCTCCTAGCTGCCAAGCTCCTGTTCTGAGCACCCCAACTTGCCAACCCTGTGCCCTTGTTCAGTCAGATGCGCTGCACTGCTAGCAGATGCTGCAACCTCATCCTTAGTTCCCTTGTTTCTCCTTGCCCCAGTCCTCAGCCAGGACCCCAGATAGATGGTATGGGAGGCTTCTTACTCACAGCAAACCGCAGGAGCAGGCATGACTTGCCCACGCCCGAGTCACCAATCAAAAGTAGCTTAAACAGGTAGTCACTGGAGAAAAAAGACAGGAAGGTGTGAAGGAAGGCAGGAAGCCCAGCTGCCATCATCCTGAAGTCACTATTATAGCATTCCCCCCACACCATAAAGCATGTCTTGATATGGTGCACTATAATGCTCACCAGTTATTAGAATTCAAACACTCCCCTCCCCAAAATAATCTAACCCATACATAGCACCCTCAGCTTGCTAAGTCCCACTTGATGGAAAAGGAAACTGAGACAAAGAGGAACATGACTTGTCAAGAATTGCAATCAGTGACAAAGCTGGCATCCTACCCTGATTCCTGACAAACTGTGGTTCTGTCCACTAGGAGCTATTTAGGGAACCCCCACTGTGCCCTGAGTATACCCATCTAGGCAGGGAGTCCCCAGAAGTGGAAACTAAGGCCCATCCCAGAACTAAATAAGTGAAAAAGCAATGTAAAGAGCCTGATGTGAAGTCACCAAAAAGAGTTGGTCAACAAGTGGCAATGATAACAGCACTTAGTACTTACTGAGCTGTGACTGGCTCTGTGAAAAGTACTTCAAGTGCATCTCTTGTTAAATCCCTGACAGTCCAAGGAAGTCAGTGTCCTTATTCCCAAACTAATGGGGAAACCAGAGGTCAAAGAAGGGAAGTGACTTGCCCTAAGTTACACAGCTGACAACTCTGAGACTTGAAACCAGGCCTGTCAGACTCCAGTCTCTTTGAGGGCCTGCCGGTTCCCTTCTCTGTTCCCCCTCCTAATTCGGCTCAGAGCTTCACCCTTCCCCAAGGAAATCTGAGGCCTGGAGCTGGAGGAGAAAAAGGAAGTGGCAAAAGAGGAAGAAGATAACTGATACTTGGGGAAAACTAGAAGTGCAGGGCGTGAGATGTGGTCCACCCACCCGCAGGGGGAGGTGACCAAGAAGTGAGGAGTCTAAGGACTACAGAATCCCACTGCAAAGGGAAAAGCAAATCCCACATTCCCCTAAACTTCTCCACAGTTTGACAACGGAAGGAAAAGGTGTGACGGTGGCGCTGGAGGGCTAAGCAAAGGTGAGAGGGCAGGAAAGGACGGACTACCAGGAACAACAGAGCAGCGGGGCCCAGACAAGGGCGAGGCGGCAGCTCCGGAGGGGAGGACCTCAAGGGGACGCGAGCCGAGTGGCGCTCCGGGCCTCCCGCGTCAGGTCGGCCCGGGGAGCCCGACTCCAGAAGAAAACGAAGGGCAGAACGATTCACAACAGGGCCTAAAGCGCCCAAGTCTGAACCAGGGCCCCGGGATTATTCCGACAGGCTGCAAACCACCGGGACTGTAGTCAAGCAGCAGGTGGGGAAACTGAGGCCTGGAGAGACTGGAGCTGCGGAGTCACCTGACCGAGAAGGCCTAGTAGGACCGGTGCCCCCGACTGCAGGTGCTGCCCCTCAGGGCCACCGCCCCTGGGCTGCGGGTGCCAGGACTCGGGGTGTGGAGCCGGGGTCCCGGGGCCCACAGGGGGAGGGGCAGGACCCGGATGTGGGGGGGGGGGGTCAGCGGAAGAGGGACCCGGATGTAGGGGCGCTGCGCCGCCCTGACCCAGGCCAGACACCCCGGTAAGCTTATAGCCCCGTACTCGGGATCGAGGCTGCCCCGGGCGGCGCGGGCGGGGCTCACTCACTATTCGGGGTTCATGGCGGCGGCGGCGGCCCGCTCGGTCGCTCCCAGTCAGCTCTGCTCCGCCTCCCGTTCCAAGATGGTGGCCGCTCCGCCCTAGAGGCCCCGCCCGCGCCGCGCAGGCGCAAACCTTTTCGACTTGGGTTGCGCCGCGCTGCTTCCCGGAACTTGTAGTCTGCCCGAGTGTACGACTCGCCGCCGCTGCGCAGGCCTAACTTCGAGAGAGCAGCCAAGCGCTCCCGTCGCACTGACTTCTGGGGCTCGTGGTTCAGTTCCTGGACGGACCTGGCGGGAGGACCTAGCTCCGAACCTGGCGGCGACTCACTGGTGCACCTCAGTTTTGCACTTTTCACTTGTCTAACGGAGGCAGCCATCCTCACCCTCTTGGCTTGCAGGATGTGAGCATTAAATGAGAAGGCGCGTGGTTGCAGCAGGAGCAGTAAAATTTTATTTATCCAGGGTTCTTCGTGTGCTGTACACTCTCAGCCCTACCGAGGCTCAGGAGGAGGTCATCACCCACATTTCTTTCTTTCATGCGGTGCTGGGGATAGAACCCAGGGTCTTGTGCATGACTATGCAAGCACTCTACCCCTAAGCTACATCCCCAGYCCCATAACTCACGTATCATACTTGGGAAATCGAGTCCCCGAAAACTCGGATTCAAGATCAAACAGTATTAAGGTGCAAAACTTACCAAAGCTCGTGCTCTTAAGAACCCCAGAGGTAAATGTTTTAAAAATCCCGCACTCGTGGCACCCCCACACAGTTCCGGGACAGGGGCAGAGTATCTGGGCTCCCGCATCGCAGGATGCACGCGACAGATATATACACACACACACACACTCCACTTCACGCGACATCTCCCCCCGCCCCCGATATGCTAGGGACCTCCCCCTTAAAACAAGCTTAGTACAGATTCAAACCGTCTTTATTTCTACAGCAACATCTGAAAATAGCGACCACCTCATCCCTCAACTGGGGAAGTCCCTCCTGCCACCAGGGGCTGTCACCGGCCCTCCCGAGAAGCTGCAGGCGCGGGAGGAGGCGTGGCAGGATGGCTCAACGGGCGGTGCCTGGTCTGGGCCTGGCAGGAGGGGCAGTGCATAAGGCCGGGATGAGGGGCAGGGCCCGGCGGATGGAGGATGGGCTCGGGCTCAGACCCTCAGTCCTGGGGCACCTGGCAAGGCGTGATGGGACGCGTCCCTCGGAGCCCAGAAGCGCGAGGAAGTCCAGGCAACCCTATGCGGAGGCGCCGCCCCTAAGAACACGGAGCATGGGAGATACCACCGCACGGAATGGAGGTGATTAAGGCCTGGGCGGTACCACTGGAGAAGGGCGGGCGAAGGGAAGCCCAGGGAGTACAGTGGACTGAGGGGTGGGGCGCGGCCAATAACTTATTTCTCTATATACAGAAGCAACGGCCGGTGGGGGCAGGGATCGGGATGGAGGGCGAGAGTGCTGAAGGTTGGGCAGGTGCTTAGTGTTCTCCAGTCCAGGATCTGGGGAGGGCAGTTATTTTGGAGACTCCAGCCAGCCCTTCCCTCTGGCCTGTAATCTAGGGAAGAGGGGCCCCTGCTGGAAGGAATAAATAAGGGTAGAGCTGGAGCTGGCAGGCCCGGCCTCCAGGGCTCAGGCTGAGATGACAAGGGGAGAGGTTACCCTGAGATTGAACAGAAAAGACGGGGGTTCTTGGGAGAGACAGGCAGGACAAGCAGCAGGCCCATGCGCAGGGCAGGGGGTAGGGGCTATGCCCGGTGGAGGCTCTGATGACTGGCTCCCCCTTCAGGATTAGCCCACCAGGGAGCTTCGTCGGGAGAGGTCCATGGAGCTGGAGCTGAGGGTGCGGCTGTCAGAGAGACCTGTACCTCCAGGCTGTGGGCAGAGGGGTAGGTGACTCAGCCTTATGCTGCTGGGATTGTGCTTCCAGGCCCCAAGGGCCTGACCCAGCCATTCCTTTGTAGCAGACACAGCCTGTGTCCCCCAGCTGGGGAGAGGCAGGTCTGGCCCAAGGCCACACCCCAGTGTCTGACACTCCTGTCACTCCACAGTTACTATGTTGGCACTGGCCCTGTACATGTCCACCCCAGGGCAGGGGCTGTGTTCTCATCTGTCTCCCTGCTGTCCAGTCCAAAGCAGGCCTGGGACGGGGACAGAACATTGCTTAATCAAGAGACATGCTCCAGGAGAAGCTGGGCAGGAGCACTTGTAGACTTGGGACCCAGGGCAGGGGCCTGGGCCTCAGCTGCCCAATGCCCAAGACCCTCTGCCCCTACCTGGACTGGCTCTTCCACGCTCTTGTTGAGGAAGTTGAGGGAACTGGCCCGCTTCATTCTGAGGGTAAAAGATGACCGGGATTTGCCCATGGTGGGATTGGTCGGGGAGGAGTCAGGTTGGGGCTGGGAAGGGGGAGGGAAAGCACATTTGGTAGTGGTGGTGCTGCATTTGGATCATGAGCTTATCTGGGGTTGTTGGGTGGTTCTGGAGAGGCTCACCCTGGGTGGGGGTTCACCTGGGGTTAGGGGTCTCCTGGGGGCCACCCCCTTGCAGCTTCTTCACCAGCATCTCACTGCTGCGCCTCAGAGCATCCCGGAGCTTCCCAAAAGAACCACTGCGCCGCAATGAGCCGCTGCCATCCTGTAAGTGACAGGTCAGTCTCTAGGCTACACTGGCTACACAGACTCCCAGGCCACCCCAGTCCCCACACTCACCCCACTCCACTCAGCTGTAGGCCCAGTCTCTTCGAGGTCAGACTCAGACCGAGGCCCAGCACTTCCAGCCACATCTCTGCTGCCACGGCGGTCTCCCCGCCCACCACTGCCATCTTTCAGCAGTTCTACCACTTTAGTCTGGCTTGCAGGGTCCAGGCCCTGAGAAAGGAGCAGGGAGCATAAGGCCCTGACTGGAACACATACAGGACCTCCTAGATCCCTATCTGCCCTCCCTCTGCATGGAGCCCTACCTGCTTGCGGCTGCGGCTGGCACAGTCCTCCAGGGTGTGCGCAGCTTCCAGCTTGCCCTGGCGCCGGTACAGGGCCCCCAAGCTGCGCAGGGTGGTGTTGACTGTGGGGCTGTGGACAGACAACAAAAGAGTTTCAAACTCTATATTTCTCTGACCCAGGGCCTTTCTGGCATCTAGTCCACACTGAGCCCTGAAGAACCACCCAGTCATTGAGAATCTAGCCTCTCCCATGTGTCCAGTCCTGTTCTAGCCCACTGGTATCTCACTTCTTAGGAGAATCACCCCAGGAATGGGGACCTGGCCCAAGGCCCTCATGGGATATTGCCACCAACACCAAAAGGTCTTGGTGCAGGAAGCTTCCTTGGGACAGGTGGTCTGTGACCTGGTACTTGAAAGATGAGAGGGCAGAGGAAAGGTGTGTGTCCTGGGGAGGGGTAAGAGGATAGAGTGTAGAGCCTGGGCCTCACCTCACCCTGGATGCAGTTTTCTGCTATCTGCTCTAATCCCAGCCTACTCCTGCCCTCACCTGTCAACCTTACAGGCTTTGTACCAGCTGCCATACTCCCCATAGGGGGCGCTGTCCCGACGTTTGTCCTGGGGGAAAGTTCAGTCAGTTGGGGAGGTGGGCGAAGTCCCTCCCCTCCAAATATCCCAGTCTTGGGCCTTCCCCAGTCCTGCTCACAGAGCTACCTTGCTCTCCTCCCGTTCCTCAGCATGCATCCAGATGGGCTTATTGTCCCCTGTGGGGAGAAAAGGGATTGTCACCAGCCTGCTGGATTGGATTGGGTTGGACTGGGGTCTGGGGAGAACAGGACTACCCAGGAAGAACAAGGATTCTGCTTTGCTGAATAAATGAACAACAACAACAAAAACCATCACTGACTCTCCTCTGGACAGAAATGAGCAGGACACAGGCCTGCATGCAGAGGCTTGTGACTGGGGCAAAACAAGCGTAGAGGACAGATCTTTACACAACTAGGGCCAGAGCCCAAGACAAGTGGTAGGCCTAAAAAATAGATTAGCTTCTAGAAATCTGGGAGCAGGAAATGGCTGACCACTGGGGGCCAGAAGGTGATTTCTCAGAAGAGGGAACACTTGGGCCAGACCCTCAAGGTGAGTAGGAGTTGCCTGGTGGAGAAAGGGAAGACTGAGCAAAGAGCATGGGGCTTGCCCCAATATGCACAGCTATGGCTGTCCAGTAGGTAGGTGTGCTCCATGGGTACCATCCACAGGTGAGGCTGGGCCACCACCCAGACCCTAGGTGTAAGGGCTTGCCCAGTAGAGGTAGTATCCGCGGCATTCATGGCTGAGTATGCATGTGCTAGATGAGCTAGAGGCACATGGACTCACCATTGACAGAGCCAAACTCCTTCTCGTGAGCACGGGTGAGGATCTCCTTGTATAGAGTCTCTGCATCCTGGTATTTGCCCTGTTTCAGGTAACAGGAAGCCTGGAGAGGCAGGGCCCCAGGGAATGAGCAGAGCGAAGGGAGCTGGGCTTTCCCTCTTCTTCCTCCCTCTCCCCAACCCTCCATCTCTCCTGCTTAGACTCCAGCCCCAAGGTACCAGGTTGTTCTTGGTCTTGGCCACATTGGGGTCATCAGGCCCAAGGCGGGTAGCATAGATCTCCAGCGCCCTCCGGTAGTAGTATTCCACCTCCTCTGCTTTGCCCTGGTTCTGGCACAGCAAGGCCAGATTGCTGAGCTGCTTGGCTACATCTGGGTGAAACTTACCCAGGACCTGAGATAAGAGAAGGGGCCAGTGGCTGGGCTAGGGGTGTCTGGCCAGTTCCCTACCTGCCCAGCTCTAACCCTGCTGGCTCCCACCTTTTCCCGGATCTCCAGGGCCCGCTTGCACAGTGGCTCAGCCTCTTTGTACTTGCCCCGCTTGCCATACAGAACGGCCAGGTTGTTCAGTGTTGCAGCCACCTGCAGGGGTGGAACATGGAAGGATCTGACCCTGAGCCTCACTTGGCAGGGACTCGGGGATCTGCAGGAAGTGGAGGACAACCCCCCCACAACCCATGCCCTTCACTCACAGCTGGGTGGTCCTTCCCCAGTGTCTTCTCCCTAATGGCCAGGGCATCATTGAGCAGGTGGGCAGCCTCTTTGTACTTGTTCTGGTCCCTGGGAGCAGGCAGGAAATGCTTA